CACTAAAGCGCGAGAAAGGGAAAAAAATATGTCCCTAAACTTAGGAACTGTCAAGTAAATAGCCAAGGAAATAACAAACAAGAAACTAAAACCAGAAGCTCCTCTCGCAGAAAGAGTATACTGAACTTTAAAAAAATGTCATGTTGTTAAGGGCGAGTTTTATTTCAGGAGCAGGAGGATCCGCAGCAAATAAGCTGTAGAAATACAGTCAGCACCTGCTGATTAATGCCATAGTCCACACAAAGTGATTTGCCTACATTCAGAATATCACTTTAAGAAACACCGACTTTCCAAATCTTAGGCACTCTGTCATGTTTGTTCCAGCGTAGTTACCTAAACGGTTTAAGCTGAACGTAATTTGTTTCCAGGCTTCCAGGACGCTGCTGCATGTACCACTCTGCTGGATTGGCATCTAATTGTTATTAATGGCAGACAAGAACAACAATATTTTTTATCTTCAATTTTCTTTTCAGCGTGTAGAGCGTCATTTTTCTTGCTTTATCGATCAACTAATAGTAAATTAAGAGAACCCACCTGTTCACGTGGGGGACTCGAAGGAACGTAGCATCAGTGGGGGGGGAGTTTGAGTAACGCAGTCAGACCTGTAAGGATTTGCGTTTGCGTGCATCGCCACCATGTTTGACAGATGATGCGGTTTGCTTGGGATAATGAGCGCTTCGTCTCCTTCCTCGTGCTCTTCTTGTTCCCTCGCTCATGCACACATTCAGTTCCTAAATGTTCCCAGTGGACTCCGACCTGAGCTCATCTACATGCATGAAAGCGTGTCTCGACTCTGTCGAGGACACGCCTACTTCCTGGAGAGTCTTCTTGACTTGAGGTTTTTTGGGATTTCGTTCATTTTGCTGACCGCGCTCGTTCATAAGCACCAAACTGTGGCCTCTCTTAAGGTTTCTGCAATCATTGCAATTACTCCGAGTAAAACGCGCACGTCGTACGCAAAAACAAACAAAATGTGATCCGGTGCAAACACCCGATTGGCTGCGATTCAGTGAGTGTGGCGCTGCATTGTAGTGTGGCACAACCTTTTTGCCGCATGCCTCTGCATATTGCTGCAGCCTCTCCTGTGCCAATGCAGGCATCTCATTGAAAACTAATGAGGACTCAGTGTTTTATTCTAACAGCCTAAAGGTGCCACCATATACTGGATTAAAGCACAAGTAACCCAAGGAGCATAATGAGGTTTCCTACAAAGGAAAAAACAGGAGCAAAGATTTGTCCTTAAGCCGTGGATCTAATCTTTACACGACGACGCTTTCCCCATCGTGACAGCGGACACTTAAATTGCATTTGGTAAATTCTTAAAAACACAGATCGGGATACAAGTCCCGACAGTGGCTAAAATAAAAGACGGAGCCCAAGCTTTGATCCCTTTAATGACACGGACGGCGTTTGATGTACAAACACAGCACCTCCTTGTTTCCGAGCTTCCTGTCTCTGCCGGACTGTTGACGTGTCGACAGCTTGCACGGGCTGGTTAAAAGGAGGACAGAGGATCTGGTAGTACATTCAGCTGTCATACCAGGAGGTGCATCCTCTTTTTTTCTTTTTTTTAGGTAACAAACCCCATTCTCCTTTAAAATGGGTGCTTAGAAGTTGAAAATTGCCAACATCAAGAGCTTCCTTGAATTAGGATGCCCTGCAATGCAAGTGTGTTATATAATGCCATGACTGGAGGGAGAGGAAAAGTAGAGCACAGGGGTAGAGATTAAAAAACTTTCTGCATAAAAAGAGAGGAGGGAGGAAGAGATGAGCATAAAAGGGAAAGGGGGGAGGGGTGGGGGATCGAGGGAGAGACAGAGATAGAAATATAGCGTAATGAAAAAGAGAAGGGCGGATTAGGTCAGGCAGGAGTGAGGGTTCACTCCTACAGCGGGAGCAGCCTTTGGGCCTGGCAGGCTGCAGGAGGCTGGTCAATCCTTCGGCTCTCTCAAGGCTCCTCTCTTTTTTCATTTAGATAATGGAGCATTTCCTTAATTGGCAGAGCGCAGTTTAGGCCGGGGTTTGTTTGCCAACACGTCAGAGCAGAATTATTTCCACTACATTTACAGCATAGTGTTGCTCGGCTCTCTCATTAAAACCGCAGGCTCCTCCTGCCCCGATAGGTTTTTTGTTTTTTTGTTTTTTTTGGAAATCTACAGAAGGAGGCCGAGTGGCAAGGAGGAAGAAAACACATTTATCTACCATCACACCATCCCTAGTCAGCTTGTCAAGAAAGAGACCGAAACTTCTCGATCTGTTTACCGTTATTGTTTTTCTCCAATCATAAAGACTTACTTCTGGTGCTTTTTTGCCTCCTTTCTTATCGAGAGACTTATGCGTCGAGCTCGCATGATCTGTATCTTTAAATTTGATTGAGGGTATTTGCAGGGGGTGTTATTGGATTTCGGCGTTATTGTCTCACCTTTTCCCTCTGTGTTTTTTAATGTTGGGATGGATATCCGCTCCAGCAGCACTGATCTCACCGTTCTGCTCATTAGTCTGGATTCGCAGACCTCGGTGCTTCGTAACAATAAGACACGCACTTCTGTAGTCCAGCCATTACCGAGTTTAACAATGTGCACCAGCCAGAAAAGTCCATTATTTCTGCAGCTCATCATCTCAAGCATCCATACGAGACAAAGGGTCTGTGAAACTGCTTCATTGCAAAGAGCCATCTATCACTTAAGTCAGGAGCAGAGACTACAAAATACACGTGGAACACGGCGCAAACCGAGCAGGAAGCATATGGATGGATCAGTTATACAAAGGGCGCGTGCTGCTAGTGACAGGGCTCTGCAACTTTATATATATATGAGTATATCTCCATCGGACTCAGCCGGCTCACCCTTACCTTTGTAAGACTTCACAAACACAGACGTAATCGATTCTCGGTCCAGTTCCTCAGAAATTCTCTTATTAGTTTGTGGTCAGTCGAGAAAACGTAGGCCTACATTTCAGTGTTGCTGCAATTGTTTTATGATCATAGAGTACAACTGTGCAACTGTCTAAAAACTCAAAGTGATAACCTTTATTTGTGGATTTCAGTGCACGAGATTATTCGGTGCAATTTCCTTTTTTTTTTGTCTTTTAAAGATGAAGCATCGACATCCAGGTCTCGACTGTCTTAAAGCACGAGCGTGTTCATTGGGTGTTGAGTAGATGTAGAACATCCATAACATAAGGTTGTTTCTGGGTCTGAAAAATGCAAGAAACCTGCGTTCTTCCCATTTTATTGATATGCAGCAATAAATCAAGTCTGTTTTGAGGTTGGCCAACTGGGTGATTCACAAGTAGCTACTGTACCAGAGCGCAGAGTTCGTGGTTTCTCAGTCAGATCCACTCATAGCTTGTGATGTCCAGTTTCAAAAAACCAAGACCAACAGAAGAAATGCTCAGAAAACAGTAGGCAACACCTTAGATTACGTTCAGTGACTAAGACTGTAAGTACCCTGTATTAAAAACTGAATTTCAAGGTATTTTATTTAAAATTACATATTTGTGTCGCCATCCTTAAAGGCAGGTGCACCAGAGGGTAACAAGTCAGATTTCTACAGGAGAGAAACAAAGAACTATCCTGTCAGCAGTTTGTTAGTAAATTTAAGTGTCGCCTGAGGGGAAGGAGGCACAGTTATATTGTTAGTGATTTTAAGTACTGTGTAATGTGTCTGCAATTTTGCAGAAAAACAAACAATACTTTTATCTTACATGTACTCTTCAGACTGTTCATACTATGGAGTGGTTTAATCTCGCTTAACGTCCAGGGAGATGCTGTTTTTCAAAGTTATGTTTGAACAGTGACTGTAAAAGAAAAGAAACTTCCACCTGGCTCATAATTATGAGGTCACATACTGTAGGCCTGCAAATTTTTATAGTATTTATTTTTGTATTGTAAGCTGGTTAAGGAGAACGGTCACATTTATATTAGTCAAATAAAGCTTTGGTCGTGCACATTATCATGAAGAAAATTAAATAAAGATATAAAAATCTGAGTAAAGCCAACGTACGTAAAATTACATAAAATTACTTACAACATATTTATTTCTTCTTTTACTGTAAAATTCTGACTCTGTGTCTGATTTTAGCATCAATATCTTTCAGTATTGGTATAGGTAATAATTTTATTGCATTTTCAAATAAAATACTTTGAAATTCTATTTAATTACAGGGAATCACACCCTTAGTCCTGGGCTGTGATATAAGTATTACCAAACAGTAAAACAGTCGGCGCCACGGGTAACTACATCCATCTTTTATCTACAGTTTATGAAAAACACTACTGACAGAGACATGTCTGTACTCACTAAAAGTACAAAAAGGTGCAAACAAATCCTTGTTCACATTGTTTTTCTCTGCTCACATTTTTTCGTAATTTAAAGAAGATTTCTGCAGATTTATTGCGTTTATTTAGCCAGAGGCCGTGCAAACCTCGAAAATAAAACTGGCTGAATCTGAAATTTCAAGGCGGCAGAAACAGAATTAGAGAAAAGTAATCTTTCTAAAACTCTTTAAAAAAGTCCACACGATAACCGGAGACGGAAACAAAGACGGGGGTGGCGAAGAGCAGGAGAGCTCATAAAGCAAAAAGTATGAAAGTGGAGCTTGGAGAGGGAGCAGCTGCTGGTTTAACAGACCTGTCATTGAAATCAAAGGCCCTAATCAAAATTTTATCAATTAATTGATCTTTCCTCCTGTGCTTTGCCACAAGTGCAATTGAGATTCCCCATGACTCTTGCCCCTCCAACAGCAAGCCATGCTCTACAACATAAACTGTGTTCATTAGAGAAGATCAAGGATTTCTCTAATATGAGCTGAGATGTGATATGATGGCTGTTTCCCCCCGACTTAGTTGGTGTGCAGGACATCTCTCCCTGGTTGCCTTCCACATCACACCAGGGATCTTTGCGCTTCTTTCATGCTGGTTTTACAAGTCAAACAACCTACTTTAAGTTTAATTTTAACCGTAGTTCTAACACCCGCCTCCTGCTGTGCGTTTTCCACAGGGTAACCAAGAGGCCACCAACCCCCCAGAAGCGATGGCCCAGCCGTACACCCCAGCCCAGTACCCGCCTCCCCCACAGAATGGCATTCCCGCAGAGTTTGCGGCACCTCACCCGCTCCCGACGCAGGACTACACCGGGCAGAGCCGGGTGCCCGAGCACGCCATGACCCTCTACACGCCCACACAGACGCACAGCGAGCCGGCCGGCACTGACAACAGCACGCCCGCCACCACGACCGCACCGGTCAGTGTCCTTCACCACCTGCAAACACTGTTCTCAACACGCTGTCAGCAAGTAAAATATCTTCATATTATCTTTTTTATCCGTATTATTATAACGTTACAAATGTCCGACTGTTCTTCCCGTGACTGGTTTCTTCCGTCTGCTTACCAGTGTGAGCTTAGCCAAATGCTGTGATTTCTCTCTACTCATTTCCTCTCCCTTGTTTCACTGAGAAGTGAGCCTGTTGTTTAATATTCAGTCAATATTTACATGATCTGTCCTTGCCTATAACTCTCCAGTTCTGCCCTCTTTGTATATTGACAGAAAAGTCTGTGTGCATGCAGGAAACTTTTTCAACAGATCCCAAATCACAGCATGTAAAGTCTTCAAACTTTTCGGCTCCAGTATAAAAACATTTTGGAAGTAAATGTGGCCTTGACAAGCACGATTCAAATAACTGGAACCAAATAACATGTAACGTACGGAAAACTGAGGAAAAACTGGTGCAGTTTGGAGCATAAACTCTCATTCAGAAGCACGACCCCTTAAATCGCTGCAAATTAAACCCCATGTTTGACAGAAGAATAGTACAGCGGCAGTAAATCAGAAGTCAAACCTAAGAAATGGTCAAAACAAGATTGTAAAAATTGTTCAAAGCTTAAAAAACATCGGCCCAAACATCTCACAAATAATTAGGTCACTGGCAAGAAGTCAGCAGCATGACTGGATACATAAAAAGTATCCTAGAGAGGCTCAGTCTTTAGAAGGGAAGAAGGGGAAGATGATAATGTATCTCAGGAAAACGCTGCAAAGAATTTGGCAATTTCGTTCTGTTATGTACCATAGATGATGAAAAGATTAAGAGCATCAAGAGAGATCTCTGTACGCAAGGGACGAGGCTGAAAACAATTTCATTTTCAATATTGTAATCTGCAATCTGCATTATAAACACATCTGATTCTGAGGTGCAAATCACTGCATGGGCTCAGGGGCACTCAGTGAATACAGCGCGGTGCTGCGGCCATAAATCCAAAAGTCTACCATGCAGGGGAAACACGGTGGTACTGTAACAGCAGCAGAAGAACATATTAACATCATATATCACACACATGTTATGTGCATTTCTGGATTTGTTGATAACCAGACACATGAATGACAAAAGATCTCCCGTCCTCAACCGATCAAATAACATCTACACTGGCTTCTTCTCTTTATTATAACATGTGCTAAAGTGGTTCTTAGTGCAGGATTTGCATTGCCTTCATTACTGTCAGTGATTGTGATTGAATATTTCCTAAAGTTAGGAGTATAAAGTGTACAAAGGAAGCTGCTATTGTGCAAACAAATGGGTTTTATTCCGCTGAAGCACACGTAACACTGAGTGGGTGTGTTAACAGTAAATTTGTGGTTTGTACTAAGAAAATGATTTCATCTGTTGTATGAGCAGCTGATGAGCTCAGAAATGAAGCTAACTCACAACCCTAAAAGCTGCAGTTCTCCAAATGACCACTTGAGGCTGGCTCATGAAATATATGCATAATAAAAGATGGAGCTAAGCTTACCATTAGGGATGGGTATCGTTTAGGTTTTATCCGAGACTGGTGCCAAACCGGTACTTTTGAAACGGTGCCGGTGCTTAAAGAATGGAGAACACAAAATTGGTCCAAAAACCTCTCATGTTCAGCTGTTTTT